AATAATATGATTATATATTAATATATTAGAACTTATAATATATTAATATAAATCACTAGTATCCTTTTTCCACATCTTGTCTATCCAATTGTACCGATGTCATGCAACCCAAATGGACCATGCCGGGTCGGGTCAAGTCTTACCAATTATAGTTATGGACTTAGACATTAATCCAAAACTTTTGTCGGTGGCCCCCGATACATGTACAGCCACTATCAAGATGCCCTCTCCATTTGTAGAGAACATGGGAACCCACAATATTTTATCACCTTTACATGCAATGTGAAGTGGCCAGAAATTAGACGATACATGTTGCTCCATAATCAAAACGATGTACATAGTAGAGCCGATATCATTTCACGTGTTTTCCATATGAAAGTAAAGGCTTTTATAAGATTTCTTAAAGAAGACAGAAAATTTGGACCTGTCGTAGCACGTAACTCGTATATATTCATTCTTAGTTAAATATATATACATTATTTTTCTCTCTTTCATTTCTGCGTTACTTCACAATAATTTCAATCGACTTCTTTTTTGTAGACCTGTACACAATTGAATTCCAGAAGTGGGGCTTACCTCATTGTCATACGCTGTTGTGGGTCGTTGCATCACATAAAATACAAGACCCTTTTGACATTAATGCATTAGTTACTGCTGAGCTGCCAGATCCATCATCAGAACCATTGTTGTACCACACTGTTACAACGTGTATGATCCATGGTCCATGTGGTTTGCTAAATGTAAATGCTCCATGTATGAAAGATGACAAATGTAAAAAAAATATCCAAAACCATTCCAACACTGTACAATCTTTGACAAAGAGGTTTATGCACATTATAAGAGAGATTGTATGGCACGCCATACACTACAGAACGGGATCCAGGTAGATAACAGATATGTTGTCCCATACAACAAAAGCTTATGCAGTCGTTTTGACGCGCATATTAATGTGGAGTACTGTAGTTGGAATATGATGATAAAATATTTGTTCAAATATGTTTCCAAAGGAATGGAGCGGGTGAGGTTTGTTGCTCAGAAAAATGTGTCGGTTGGTCAATGTACCACCTCTTCACAACACGTTGTTGTCGACGAAATACGGAATTTTGTTGACGGTCGTTACCTTTGCCCTCACGAGGCTGCCTGGAGTATTTTTGATTTTCCCATTCATGAGCGGGAACCGTCAGTCACAATACTCCCAGTTCATCTACCAAATAAGCAGACAGTTTACTTCAAAGAAGACACTCGCATCCATGACGTTGTTCAACATCCAGCTTTCGGTTACACTCTACTATTAGAATGGTTTGAAAATAATAAGTGGGAATTGTCAGGAACAGATCTCACGTATGTTGCGTTTCCCACAAAGTATTGGTGGGATAAGGAAGCAAAAACATGGAAACGAAGAAAACGTATGACAAGCAGTGCGATAGGTAGACTTATATTTGTGCACCTTCTGCAGGGGAATTGTTCTATTTACGAATGTTGCTTTGTCATCAGGTTGGTTGCACATCTTATGAGGATGTATGTACCGTTTGCAACAAGGTCTATCCAAATTTTCGTGTTGCGTGTGATGCATTGGGCCTGATTGGAGAAGACAAAGAATGGATGACCGCATTTACTGAAGCATCTGAGTGGGCAAATTCATTCCAACTAAGATCACTTTTCTGTCGCTTGCTTCTTCACTGTGATGTCAGCGATCCTATGTCCCTGTGGGAAATTAGATGGAGAAAAATGAGTGACGACTTGCTGTATAATATCAATTCACAGAATTTCGGATCGAATTTACATATAGGTGATGCTCATTTACAATAATTGGTTCTGTTTGAGCTGGAAGGAATACTTCAGTCCTCGACTCCTTCCAAATCGGTCATTGACTTCCATTTGCCGAAACCAACGGAAGAGACAATTAGACTGCTGCAAAATCGACTTCTTCTAGAAGAGACATCATATGACACGGACACACTCAAACTAGACCACCAACGCATGCTATCACAATTAAATAGTGAACAGCTCCACATTTATAAGTTAGTTGTTTCGTCTGAAAAAGACGGACAACAGGTTGTCCTGTTCATTTACGGACATGGCGGAACAGGCAAGACATTTCTTTGGACTACATTACTTGCATACTTCCGCTCTATTGGGAAGATCGCACTTGATGTGGCTGCCTCGGGCATAGCATCATTGTTGCTACCATCGGGTAGAACTGCTCATTCCAGATTTAGTATACCGATTGACCTTTCACAAAAAGCCGCATGCAACATTTCAAAGAAAACCCTACTTGCAGAGTTATTGAAACCTACGTCTATCATTATCTGGGATGAGGCCCGAATGAATGATAGGCGTTGTTTCGAATGCCTAGACCGTTCCCTAAGAGATATTCTAGATTGTGATACGAAGGTGTTTGGTGGAATGTCCGTACTGTTAGGAGGGGATTTTCGTCAAACATTACCTATTTCCCTAAAAAGTACAGTCTCACATATCATTAGTTTGACTTTACCCAAATCATACCTATGGCCATGTTTTACAATTTATAAGTTAAACCATAATATGCGTCTAATGAGTACGAGCACCTATTCAGAATCAGAGCTATCTGTATCAGAATTTGCAGCGTGGTTACTAAACGTTGGGGATAGTGTTTTAGGAGAATCAGATCCTATTGATAAAAAAGACACAAAATGGATTGAAATACCCTCTTCCCTCACTATATTACCAGGAGAAAATGCGTTGAAAAATCTTATAAATTTTGTATATGGTGACGGGATTCTTCTCAATCCTTCTCCATCTGTATTGGCAGGTAGGGCGATTGTATGTCCAAAGAACGATACGACGCACATAATAAACGAGCTCATCCTAGAACTTAACCCTAACGAGACAACATCTTATACAAGTGTTGACACAATAGAATCTAATGGAAACTAATCTTCAGAATTTAACACTTTCTATCCGGTCGAATACCTGAACGGGCTCACCTTTCCTGCTATCCGACCCCACAAACTATCGCTGAAAATTAACACTCCTATTATGCTAATAAGAAATATCAACCAAAGAGAAGGTTTATGCAACGGTACATGGTTAATTGTTTCACAGTTATTGCCAAACGTGATACAGGCAACAATAATTACTGGCACATCCATCGGAAAACAAGTGTGCCTGCCCCAGATAAAATTTATACATAAAAGCCCTGAAATCCCTTTTACCTTTATTAGAAAGCAATTCCCAATCAAGGTTTGTTATGCCATGACAATCAAAAAAAGTCACGGTCAATCACTATCTAAAATCGGAGTTTTTTTGCCGGAACCAGTTTTCACACATGGACAACTTTATGTTGCCCTCTCTCGTGCTACGTCTCCACAATCTATTAAAGTACTGATACAATCTAATGTTGGTGGTGCACATAGCAAAACAATAAATGTTGTCTTTAAAGATTTCTTGCCCACAATTACAATTTATGAGGTCAAATGCATATCCATCTTTTGTAAACATAAAACATCTTACACCAGACTCTTACTGCCTTTCTGTATTGCAATAACCAGTAAAATATGAATATATTTTCTTATAGAACAAATTGCAATCCCTGCCTGTCTTCCGAGTCTTGTGTCATATTGACCTTCTACAAACATATATTATAATACATCACATCTTTATTGACTGATCATATCATACTACATCTCTAAACATACATAATTTTCCTTGCATAAAACATCTAATTTCCATTTTTTTTCTCAAACCTTGTGTCAACCACATGTCTGAAATATTCACTGCAATCTCAAAGCTGGGGTATGCATCCCCAGGAACAGCACTGCAGGTACGCATTCTCCGTACATGGACGCCACAAGTCCGAGGTCATGAAACCTGGTTTTTAGCGGTCGACGGATATGTAAGTTTCTGAACCATCTTATTAATATTCATCCATTCCATGCATATATTGACTTCCACATGCTTCCTACTAATATATCAGGGTGATGCAATCCAAATTCTTGGTCAAAGAAAGGATCAAAGATTTGTACAGTCTGCTCTTGCTCTTTCTAAATGCTACACACTAACTAAATATGGATGTGGAGAACCAGACGCATACCAGAAATGGTTACACAATCCGGTATACATCGTTTTTGGCACCACACCCTCTATTAGCTCTATCCCAGATACAGTTACTATTCCAACACACTGGTTTAACTTCATACCAAAAAGCCAAATACCAGATTATATCAACCAATACCCAGGTATTAGATTACATAAATGGACCACAAAACATTGACATAACAATACATGCTCTTTTACAAACTACTTTCAATATTATTGTGTTGTACATACCTCTTAAACAAAACGTATGTAAACATATTACATGTCATTCATTGTGCAGATTTCTTAGGAGTTTTCGTTAAACTAGTGGCCTGCACTAAGAAAAACGATGAACCTTACCTGCTCCTCATTCTAAGGAATGAATTGTAAGTGTTGCACCTTCTGAAAATATACATATATACTAATTACCATACTTAAAACATGCAAACAACAGTGGTGAAGATATTGCGATAAGCTTGTGGAAAGAATGCACTGACGCACCTTCAAAATTTAATCGGAACACAATTGAGAATGCACCTGCTCCCACTGTCATTGCTGTCACAAACATCCGAATCATGGATTATGGTGGTATGTTTGATGAAAAACCAATGTGTATTATTGCTGATGCAACTACCAATAAAAGAATCTAAAATAATTACAAATACTTCATTTCAAGGTTCATTAAGGTTAGGAACTAGTAGTGCAACCCACATATACGTAAATCCACCTATCAAAGAAACAGATACACTTCTGGATAGGTACCATCCTAAAAACAATATATTATAATCATGTTTATGTCTATACTAACAGTCTCTAAAAATCACAGCTACAAGACAAATGCTGCTTCAACACCTCTGTTTGGACTTCCAATGCCACTTACACAGATAAATGAGAAAAAACATTCAGATCTCTTGGTACACTCATACTCTGTCAAAGTTATATCCACCTTCCCTTTATCAAGATTATTAGATATATTATAGATTTGTCATTCTTTAACAGGAAAAAACTTTGACAGCAGAGGCATCCATAATAGAGTACCTTTTTTCAGATTATTGGTACCAACTTTTCTGTCCATAGTGTAAGATATCAACACTGAAACAAGGAAAGGACTGGTTCTGTCCATCACACGGAAATGTTACCTCTCCAACTCCCATGTAAGTGACAACACCCTCAAAACCAAAATTGAAATATAAAAACAATTTCTATGAACTCATATCATTCATGCACACAGGTACAAACTTATGGCAACAATTACGGACCCAACTTCCTCAATGACGGTTACCTTATCTAACAACGCTGCCCAAAAAATATTTGGAACAACAACAGATAAACTCATACTAGAGGACGACCCAAACCACAGGAAAAAATTGCCCACCATTATAAAAGAGACCGAAGGTATCACGAAAAAGATGAAATTATGGATCACAAACACGTCAACAGAAAGGAACATCTGTTTCATAATAACTGATATCGAAGACAACTCTTCTCAATCATCATCAATAACAACCCCACCTTCAAAAAACACATCCTCCTCCAATGTTCCTCATAAAACACCTACGTCTTCATCCGCACAAAATCAACCCAAAGTCAAGAGGGCATTAAATTTTGAAAATCCAGGTAATACTCACTACACATTAAACAAGTATACCCAAAAAAAACAACTGCCTGTTAACATTAAATCACAGGTATGGAAAAATCTGATGCAGGCCCGAAACGACCACGCCGGTAGCAATAAAAACAATGGCTTTGTGTACCAGCTCTATACTGCTAACCCTTTGTTTATCTCCACTTCCTATTACCTCTGTAATACCAACCCTTCCTTTTACTGCTATTCCTACTAACTTAAAAACCATATCATATTTTGCATATGTAATATTACCTTACAAAATTACCATGAATATATCAGCAGTGTTTACTAGCAGTGTTTACTGAGTCCTACAAAATATTAGATTATTAAAAAAAATCACAACAACATTTATATTACTCATAAAACAAATTACAACATTGCACATGTACTATTCCCTTACAAAATTACCATGCATATATCAGTACAAAAAAAATATCCATTGTAACATACCAACATTAGTCATTGTTTAAAAAGTAATGACTACCTTCCTTACTTGTACTAAAAAACAGCGGCCATTAAAAAAAGTAAGCTTTTTATAATCTAAGATATCGACATGCTGGTCCCAAAGTAGTTACTATTAAAAAAAATAAGAACAACATTCGATACTACCCAAACAACTACCTACTAACATTATATATACATTACTATAAAAAAAACCCACTTCAACCCCAATAGTGTTAATAACAAATATTTTAATCATATACACACCTATGCAAATATAGCCTACATTACTAATACCACCAAAAGGCCACCTCACACCCTAAATACAATTGCATGCAATGACTTATCTAACCTACTATAACAACAATGCCACCCAGAGAAATTTAGATACACACACGTCATTGATTAACCACACCCATAACACCCCCCCCCCCCCCCCCCCCCTCTGCTCCTTTCATAAGTTCTATAAAAACCCAACATCTGAAACACGTACAATAGCCATATTAAAAGATGAACAACCAACAACTCCACAACGTGCTCCTCTCACTCATTGCTTACATTCGGGAAGTAGCAGATCTTATTGAAGCAGCTCAGACGAAATTACTAGAAGGCTTCACCATGGATGAAACCTCTCACACCAGTCTCTTGACAGACACTGACAACCCCATCTCCAGAATCCTAAAAACAATCCTGCAAGATGCCAAAGAAGAGGACCTGTTCATGGAAGACAACATCTCCTTCATGCTCGGATCAATTCATAAACGAATTGGAAAATACAAACGCACAATCAAAGATACAACTGATGACTAAACGATGGCGTTGTCTTTATGTTTCCCTATGTCTATTTACTTTACGTTTATGTTGCGTTCATTTCTATCCTTACTCCAATGAAAGTTTGTCCAGGTCTTATGATGTGAAATACCTTCCATATGGGTATATAAATAAATATTATATTACAAAGCAACGTACCTCACATAAACAGTTAACCCACGACCCTCCAATCCACATAACATCAAACTATCCATTGACAATTTCCACATAAATATTTATCATTATTTAAATGCAAGACAGCGCCAAAGGCGCACACTTGATTTCTGCTTGTTAACTATCAATGGCTAGAAAAAAAAACAAAACGTAAACCTAATTAAATAAAATAAAAAATTCAAATTACATAACAAAACTTAATTATTAAAAATATCAAATCTAGAGTACCAAATGAAATCAAAAACCTAAAGTATAAAAAATCGAATAGGAGTTGATAAACACCCTTTTTTGAGTTTTTATTCTCACTTATTAGTTTTTTATATGAAATTAAAACAACATATGCGATGCATGTGTTTTTACATCCAAAATCAATGAACATATCTTACATTATTGTTAAACATCATGACAACTAAAATCAAAAGCATAATCCCCAAAGTTAAATTAAAGCATAATCACATATAGACACAATCACACACATATACATGTAGCCACATTCAGGTGAAAGTGTCTCAATTATCCAAAATGTACAAAATTTAATGTTATAAGCCGAAAGGTAAATCCGTAAATATGATATCTCGGTACTTTTCATTGTAAATACCGCCACCTATAATTTTATGTAGATTTGCAAGTATTTTGATTATTAATAAATATGACAATTTTCTAGCTTCCAAAGGTGGTCAACCTTAAAACAACAATGTTGAACCTTGGAAGAAAAACCAATCACATATGTATGAGTCTAGTGGACAAACATTTGCCACATGTCGGTAATGTGTTTTAAGATCAACATCTAGGGTACATTGATAAAAAAAGTAAGTCGATTATGATTTTGTGAGATGACTTACATGATCATACTTGGTAATTGCATAAACCCGTCCCAAACCAACTGCCTCATATAAATTCCAGAACACATGCACAAGTTTTCAGAACCATATATTAGATAAAGTAAAATACGAATAAAAATAATGCTTAAACATTAGTGACAATAGTCCCATTTGTATGAATATTTAGCCTAAGAACAGTGGAAGATGTTTACTTTTATATTTGAATTGAATAATAATAAGCAATACACCACCAAGTATTTGATCTTCGATCTGATCTCCATCACACCTCATCCCTTCTAGTTTCTACACAAAAAATATTACTTACAATTATAAAATATCTTTGTCCGTCAATATTTTATATTTATATCACAATAAACATTACATTTCAAGGAAAATGTCAAAGACTACTTGCTTAACCCATATGTTTAATAAGATAAAATAGCCAACAAACGATTTAGCCTTAGTTATAGCATGATGCCAAAACTCTAATATATCTAGTTATAAACTATCTTTTCTAAAATATAATCAAATGAAAACATGTGTAGTTTAACTGAAAAAATAAATAGTAAATTTTGATAAAATATAAAATGTAGAATAACGTGCATAAAGTTGTCGAATAAATTGATTGATGTTGCACTATAGCTAAAAAAGAATTATTATAATCAAATTCATATTGTCTATTCAATTCACAGGCTTAAATTGGTCTTGACTGGATAAAAAGGTTTGAAATAGTCTATTAAAATTAAACCATTTAGCTATATCTAGTTCATAGTCATGCAAAGGCAACAAACAAACATATTATTAGTAAGGAGGTTAAAAACAAACATCGGTCAACAAAATAGTTGATAAAAATTAAAAGGAAATATCAGTAAACGATATAGTTGACAAAAAAATAAAAAGAAATATGAAGTAATAATAATACCCATTTTAAAAGATACTTATTTTTTATCAATAAATTATATTGATACTTAATTTTAAGTTTTTACCATACAGAAAAAACCACTTTTAACGTCATCTGAATAGAAAATATTGAAAACCATCCCACCAAATCCAACAACAAACATGCATAACTTTGTTGTGTTTACATTAAAGTAACAAATATACAAATCCAAATATATATATATATATATATATATATATATATATATATATATATATATATATGT